ATAACTATAGTTTACTTAATTTATTTTATAGCAAATCATAAAGTCATACCAAGTCTATCTTAATAGAATTTTATAAAGATAGTATCAAAGAAAAAAAAGAAATATGTATTCATTGTTTCCTAAGGTTCTAAATATTCTATTATTATATTTTATTATCTAGCCATTGATAGAAAAGGTCCCAAACTTCATAGAATTGTTTATCTTCTTTAATTTCAAATGTCAATCTACTCATTCCAGCACATTCCATATACAGGATTTTTCAATTAACTCCAAAGTACTAATTAAATTCCCTCTGAGCCCTTAATCCATTAATCCAAACTTTCTAAAATTAAATTATCACCTTTTTGCTATAAATTCTTTTTTAAAAAATATTTTTTGCAAACTCTTGTAGTTAATCTTATAGCTCTTTCTTAAAGAATGGATGACATTACATTCAACAAAACTTCCCATTCTGTAGGTTTGCAATCGCTAAAAGGCATTGAAAAAGTTAAATCCAAAGTGATTAAGAGGTGAGCCTTGCTTGAACCTTGAGGCTATATAGGCTAAATTAACAGTTATAAAGCTTGATGCCAAGGCATTCATTAGCCAACAGCAAAAATGTCAGTTCCTGCTATCTACTCACAAAAAGCAGCTACCTGGAGTATATATGGGTCATCTTGAGTAGCCATTTATAATTATAGTCTCCAGAGATATTACAGTCCAGTCTACATGCCAGTTTCAACTGTTGACCAAGGATTTTAGTTCGCCATGGTGCTTACCATAGCTTTTTAGAAACATACCCAGTTTACAAAGGTTGGCAAAAATGAAACAGCCAGGGGAGAAGCAAACTAATTTAGAAAATAAATTGTTCTAAAAGAACAAGAAGGATGCTTTTCAGAGTCTTAATAATAGTATATTGGGTCTTAAATCACTTTGTAATTGTCAAGTAGCCATTTATAATTCTAGTAATCAGATCAAAACCTTTATTATGGTCTTTAGGCAGAACCACAAAGTATAATCTCTTCTAGTAGTGATTTCTTTTCCACATAATATTTATGTGATTTACCATTATTTTATTTGTTAGCAATAGATTATTTCTTTATGTGTATTTTGATGATGTTTCAATTTTAATTCTGTATCATAATTTGATTTTATGTAACAATTATTCATGCCATGTTCTGATGAAAATGAGTCTTTTTATTATAGCTAGTTTTCACAATGATTCTCTTTATAAACATTTGATTTGTGTTAAAGCCCAGCATTATTAAAGAATATAAATTTATATATCTCATAATTCAAGTTTTATTTCATTAATTTTCAGAATGTTTTTCTAAAGTATTTTTAAGAATGTGCTGAGAGTCTCAAGCCAAAATGAAGACAGCATTAGAAGACACCTTGTCTATTTTCATTAATAGTATAACAAATTCTGCAAATTAATCCCATTTAGTGAAGGATTTTGAATCACCCAACAATCTAAACACAGCCTGCTTATATCATTTCATTAGATGTTCTGTTCCTAATAGCTGAATAATCTATCTGCCAATTTTCTATTTTTCTGGCTGTGTGTGTATAAGAGAGAAAGAAGAAATTTGACAATTATTAGCTTAAGGTTGTTGAGCTTCCATATAACAGCTGACATATACAATTTGAATAACTGGTAAAACTAAGGCCAACATTATAGAGAAAGAATGCAATGGCATAGTCAGTCAATGGCACTAAAATAAAAATGTGTTGATTTTGTAATGATTTAGATGAAATTTTGTGCTCATGAAAATGGCTAAATTAACAGAATCTTGGAAAGGATTAAACTAGTAAACTGTCACATTTAGTCCATTTTGCTTCAAATAAACCATTTCTACAGGAATTTCTTCATATAATATGTAGAAAAACACAGTCTTCTAAGAGGAATTTCAAGATATCCTGTTTTTGTTTACAGCTGAGCAGATGTTTTAGTATTTATACTAGCTGAAGAATTTGGAGTCAAAGTACCGACAATCTTAAAGCCAGCAGCCTGTGGAAGTTAGATCAGTTGTCTTAGAAAGCAATAATTTTTTTAAAAGGCAGTTTCCTGTGTTCTCTGGTGACATCAAACATGCTTTTTCCTAAGTTTTAATATTTTAAAATATCTTTGCAATCCTTCCCACAAACTCCAGTTGTTGGGACAATTGAAGTAACAGTAAGGAACAATGCCTGCAATTTATCACCTATTCATTTTGGTTTATGCATATGAAGATACCAGTAATTAATTTCTTGTTTATTCTTATACTTTCTGGCACCTAAACATTCTTATATCCTGCCTTCTTTCACAATGTAAGTCAGCTTCTACTATCAGCTTAGGGTCTATCATTATTCACTGTAGCCAGGTGGGCATGATTCAGTGGGCGGGGCCATTTGAGTGCCACCAGGTTGATGTGGGTGGATAGGCATGGCCAGGACAACATGAAGAAGCCAGGTGCAGCCGGCTCAACACACATGACTCGGGGTGGCTGACTTGGGGTGACTAGGTAGGAGTAGCCAGGTGGGTGTGGCTGGGTGGGGGAAGCTAAGTGGGTGCAGAACTAGTCACCCCTGGCAACTGAACACGGAGCCAACTAGTACCTGGCCAGAATAAAAATCAAAGCAAGGGGAAGGGTCACAGCAAAAACTCAATCAAATGTACTGAAAACATAAAATATCCATCCCACCTCCTTTTGTTTATCTCCATCTTCTCTTCCATTTCCACCCTTCTCTTTCCCATTTCTGTGGAATGGACCAAATGGGAATGATGAATCCCTTCCCTGATTCAGTGAAATTTCTGCAAATGGATGTGGTTTTAATCAGCTCTCAAACTTAGCATTAAGACATGTACTTAGAAGATAGAAAGAAAAAAGGAGTGTTTTTCCGGGGGGGGGGGGGGGGGCAGAATCCCACACAAACTTTGCCTTTCAAATGTTGCCGCTTCCCTGCTTCCTGTTTGCCAGCATGTCTCTGGGTGATTTTTGTTCTGGCTAGGTGATGAGTGGGCTCCACGTCCTGTTGCTCAGGGCAACTTGTTCTGCATCCACCTGGCTAAGCCACCTGGCACCCCCCACCTGGCCACACCCATGTGGTTGCGGTCCATCTGATCATACCTACCTAGCTCCCTGAGTCATCTCCATCAACCTAGCTACACCTACTCACCCAGGTTGACCTTGCAGCACTTGGATGGCCATGCCCTCTGAGTCATGCCTATCTGGCTGCAGTGAATTGTCCCATTCCCATCAGCTTAGCTGTTTTTCATCTGAAGGAGCTTTCTTCTTCCATTCCAATACCTACTGACATTCTTAAAACAAAACACATTTTAAGCAGTAATTTTATCCCATTTAATGCATAGCAGGCCTTCATCTGCAACATAAATCTTTTTTTTCATTATACTTATACTTTTATCAGTCATAATGACAATTTCATTGCACATTCTCATTTCATCATTTCAAAAATTTCACCTTAATTCAAATACTTTAAAACAAAAATTTCCCCTACAAATACCAATTAAAGTGTGCCACCCATATAGCTTATATATCATCTAATGTGTTCCCTTTTAAATCCCAATAATAATTTAACTTGATTATTCCCTTAAACATTTATAACAGTCATCTTCTAGCAACTCCCTAACAAATATACCTGTTGTTTTCCCCTTCAGTTACATCAAAAACATTTATGGTATAACAAGAAACATTAATCTATTTAATTCATCATAAAGAACTGATATTAATTTCATTACAACAATTCTCATGTTTCATTTCAACTGTATTCTATAAGATCATTAAACATAGTTATTAAACATCATAATTTTTCTTTGTTCACATTCTTCCATTTCCCCCCCCTTATAATCTCATTACAATAATCTTCATAATTCATTTCAATTATATTCCATAACATTATCAAACTTAGATAATAAGTTTGTCCTAATTTCTCTTTTATCACAGTAGTGCCATTTATCTCTATATTTAGTTTAACAAAAAACGGTATTCCAATAACAAAACATATCTGTTCCAATCTTACATTTTAAGAATCTATATTTCCCTACTTTCTAAATAGTTTGATACTTCTAATATATTTATACTACACCTTAGCACCTTGCAGTACCCTCTTTCTCAATTCTTAGTTAACCATTATCTCTATGTCTTTTAAATAAAAAATTTCTTTTCATTTTTGTACGATTTCCATATTTATTTATTTCCTGGTTCTGTTTTTTATTGCTTCTTTTCCCCTTCATTTTTTCCCCTCCTTTTCTTACTCCAATTTTTATCCTCCTCTCCTTTTAAAACTTCCTTCTGTAGTTCCCTTTTCTGCTGTTTCCTTTTACTTTGTTTAGTTCTCAAAATATTCCCCTTTTTAATTGCCTCCTCAAATCTCAAATTTTTAATTCCCGTTCTTTTCCCTTTTTGCTTTAAACCTCATTGCTCCAATTGCTCATTGAAAATGGCCTCTTCTTTAATGAACTCCTCCTCTTCTTCTGACAATTCTTGTTGTTCTTCATGTTCTAAAATCACCATTTCTAGAAATTGTAGGGCAATATCTATAACTTTATATTTATACCAAGATTGCCAAACAATCCCAAATAAATTTCTTCCTAGTTCTTTCTTTCTTTTTTCTTCCAAAGTTCAATATTCCACTTTCACTTTCCAGGGGCTCTGTTTTGTTGTAACAATATTTCATTTATTTTGTGTCTAATCCAATCTTTAAAGAATCCAGGTTATAGAAATTCACCACTAATTCCTTTTACCACTAGATGGCACTCTCTGTTATGTCCAAGTTCAACCCCTTTTCTCCATTTTTTTCTCTATTTAGGGCTTCTAAATCCAAATTCCAATAAATCCAGATATCAGTTATTATGTTTTGATTTTCCCTTTGACATGTTCAAGTTCAGCTTTAAATTTGCCTATTTAGTGTCAAGATAACATATTCTCCAATTTGTACAAGTATCTTCTTCAGCTTCTCTTTCAAAATTCAAAGCCACTTTCAGCTGTCAAAAGTTTTTTTTCTTTTCCCTCACTGTCTTTATCCACCACTTTAATTAATTCTCTTAAAAATTCTTTAAAATTTAATTTTGGGGTACCTTGTATTCAATTATTGAATCAGATTATCTCAGTTGTTCAAGCTGTCCTCTTCTTCACCGCTCCTGCATGATCTTATCCCGGCTAGCTCTCCCTCTTCAGGATGGCCATTTTAGATCACTGCTACAGCTGTCTTCGGAGGGGAGTATTTGCCAAACCAAGGCTCCTCTCAACCCAGCTGGCAGTCTCCCCTTTCTTCACTACCCCTACAGGGTGGCTCTGCCTACAAATCAGGATGATCAGGGCCCTCCAACGGGAGAGCACAGACCGAAGCCATGGATGATCACGATCTTCAATCCGTCAATGAGGATGATGTCACCGGAAGCTCCATCTGCAACATAAATCTTACATTAGACTACAATATTAATTTCAATGGTTCTTTTGTAAAACAAACAGAATCTCTTTCCCCCTCCTACCGCCTCAATGTCAGTGTCACCCGAGGCTTAAAGAAAGAGTTTCCTAAAACAGAAGCAATGGGAAAGGAAGGCAAAAGAACTTTGGACCATAAAATCATTCTGAAAATTCATTTAGCTAACAACTATGCAGCTTGGGAAGGGAAAGGAAGGAAAGAAGACAATAAAGCAAATCTAGATACAATAAATACAAAGAGGATTATAACCAAAATAATTTTCCATCTTTTTATTTTTTTTGTGTCAGTGCAGTTAAAATATTAATCATTCTAGTCAAGTTTGCAATTATGAATAAAACAACTGAAGGATTCCAATACACATATGTGTCATATGCATTGTGAATAATAGACCTATAAACATTCTTCAAAGAATTTGCAAAGCAAAAAGTTTTTTAGAATTTGGAACAAGCAAGCCTTCACAAATCCCCAAGCAATTATTGAAGATGTTAATTACTAATATAATCAGCCCATTGGATGCAATGCAAAGAATCTTATTATTGTCTTTTTTCTTCTTTTACAAATCTGCACACATTCCAAAGTAATTTGATCTTCCAGTTCAGTAGACATGTACCCACAATTATTGGAAATATGATGTAAAAAGCAGAAACTGAAGGTGACACTTGAAAATAAAAAATGAAAAGGAGGTACCAAATTAGTAGCACAGTCTTCCCAATGTGGAAATTTTGGTAGGAGCCTCGTGCAGTCTTGAGCCATTCATAGTCCAACTCTGTACTATGCCATTGCAAAAAACATTGTATATCAGTAGTGTTCCTTTTTCCTACAGTGCTACAGAGAATATAACTGAAATTATCTTGGACAGCAAGAAAAAAAAAGAATTAAATATATGATGAAACAAAATCAGAATGTCCACTGGAAGCAATAATAACGAAAAATAATGAATAAAGCAAAGGTAGAAGTCAAATGAAAAAGTTGCTGACTCTTCAGAAAATCAAGGACAATTGATTACCCAAGGCTGCCCGGGTAACCGATGTGGTCATTGATGACCAAGCATTGTTTACAAGAACTCAAAGAAATACTTGCTGGCAAACAATCCTGGGAAAAATGTCAGCTGGGCTTTGCAGAATCAAGACTAAACAGTAATGTCTTGAATTCAGTTTTCTTAAAATACACCCCCACTTTAAGAATGCCCACTAACACAATTGTAATTAACAAGCAAGTTATTTTTTTTTCCCAAATGAAACCACCAAACTTGTAACATGTTATAGTTTATCAGAGTGAAGAAATTTGTAATAAGGTTGTGCTGCAGCACAAGGTATGCAGGGAATTGGTCTGAAGTTTGTTTCCTACCATTTCCAGTTAAAAAGGAATAGGTACCAAGTAAGGGGTAAGTTCTTCACTTGTAATCTTCAGCAGACAGTTCTGTCATGTTCAGAGAGACTCATTGGAAGGAAAGCAAAATGCAATGCAAGGATAGGGCTCCAGAAATGTGTGACAGTCCAATTAGAATTGGTACATAATGCAATTGAAGCAAGCCATCTAGTGGAATCATATGTAGCTCTCAATTTACAATCACAATTGAGACCAGTATTTTTGTTGCTAAGCAAGTGGGTTATTATGTTGTTAAGTGAGTCACATCTGCTTTTACAACTTTTCTTGCTATGATTAAATGAATCACTACAATTGTTAAATGAATCATATGGCTCTTAAGTAAATTTAACTTACTTTGCTTATTGGAGGCAAATGGGAAGTTCATAACTGGATATCACACGACTTTGGGAAGTTGAAACTGTTGTAATACATGGCAGTGTCGAGTGCCTGAATTTTGATTACAAGGTCATAGGGATTCTGTAATGGTCATAAGTGCAAGAACCAGTTGTAAGTTACTTATTTCAGTGCCACTGCAACTTTGAGCAATTAGTAAACAAATCACAGATTACCTCAAGTGAAACAGAAAGAATACATAGCTAATTTATATATTCTATTGCCACTGGATGCTCTAATGTCATGAATTAAAAGGGTTCTAGAGTGAAACTTGCCAAAGTCATGAAGAACTGAATTATCCAGGGTAATGGTTTAACAGCTATTCTCAATTGTGAGGAAAATAATTTTTAAAGCTAGGTTGTAGATTGTTATTCAGCCTTGGTGCTTACTGGTGGTATAGCTAAACAATCACTACACAACATACTCTTGGATTAAATATGCCTTTGAATTGATCCAGCAGAATTCTTAAATTATATTCACTTTCAATCCTGGATGCACCATAATCTAGTTTTCATTCTACCAGGAGGTATTATTCTTGATATAAGAAGTCATCTCCTGAGATGTACATACAATTCTGTTTCTTAATAAATAGTTCCAAGAAATATTGGACCACATATGGTTTAAATAGATGTATTCTCTAAAGAAAGAATAAAACTTCAAATAATGACTTCTGAAGTATTGATTTTGTTAGGATATGTTAAAAAGGATATGCACACAGAAAATGGCTTATGAGAACAGTTATGAAGAAATATACAGCCACACAGATTTGAACAAGTCGTATTAATGTTTACTTGAAGAAAAAGCACAATCCAATAAACAGTCCAAGTCATACATGTTTTTAACAGTCCAGAAATATCCAGTTATAAAGTCTTCTTACATCTAGTTATAAAGTCTTCTTACATCTAGTTATAAAGTCTTCTGACCAGTTCCATGTCTTTTACAGCAGACAAATATCAAACCATAATACAACAAATAACTTTTGATATCAACAGAATTTCAAAATAAATAGGATTAGTCAGTATCGGTCTGTAGTCAGTCAGTATCAGTATCAAGAGAGATCATCAGTGAAAAAGAGAAAGAGAATTAAACCATAATCTATAGCACCCTCTTAGGGCAATTTGTAGCATAATTAACCAACCAGAACACAGCATAATACATTATAGTATTTTTCTTAAAGCTATGAACATATATATTTGTAGTTTATATATTGTCAACCCAACTACGTTATTTACATATAAATAACATTCTCCCTTTTGGGTTGGTCAATATATAGTACATTACGTCTTTTAATTCATAATTTTTTCACAATTAATAACTCATACAATTTCATAGAGATTAGAAGATTCTTTATCTAACTTTACATACAATGCTTGTTTGAACTCTGTTATGTTTACGTCTCTCTCTAATTGACCTTCTAGAAAACTCAGTACATGTTGTTTGTTTATTTTATTATTTTCTTCCTCTACCTCTCCTATCGAATCATTTGCAGTTATAGATGGTTTGTCTTTTACTGATTCATCAATATTCCTATCATTTTTATGATCAGTGAACAATGGAGTTTTTACAATAATACTATGGTTTTTATTATTATATTCTTGTTTAAACTTTTGCCAGCCAACATGCTCCAGAAATTTAGCACTTGCACTCCAAAATATATTAGTAGTACCTGCCTCCCAAAATTTAAATAATATATGATTAGCTCCATAACCTACAAAATACAATTCCTTAGCTCTATATTGTCCTTTCTGCCTTACTTGCATGGGAATATTAACCCATGCTGGGGTTCCAAATGTATGCAAATAACTAAGATCTGGTTTTCTTCTATGCCAATGAGTAAATGGTAATTCATCAGTCATTAAATTTATTACATTATTCAAAACATGGTTAGCACACATTATTACCTCATCCCACAGTTGCTCTGATATACCAGAATCAAACATCATATTCTTAGCCATAACCTGTAATGTTTGTCTTCTACATTCAATATATGAGTTATGTTGTAATCTATAAGGATCAGAATTCCAGTTTTTCGTAAAATAGTTTCAAATTTGTTATTAGTAAATTCAGTATTATTATTCGTAATTAATCTAATAATTTTCTGGGTTTTTTTCAGTAAATTTTAGCCAGTTTACAAAATATTGGTATGTTTCTCGCTTTGTTTTCATTAGATAATAGAAATCATATCTGGAAAAATGATCCATAATACTCAATATATAACAGGCTCCACCTATATTAGGTTTTCTTGGTCCAATGATATCAGCAAACACAACCTCTAATGGTTTACTGGTTTTCAGTCCATTTACCATATTGTCAGAAATTACCTTGTTTTCCTTTTTATGACACATATTGCAATCTACATACTTTATACAAGGTTTTAAATCTATACCAGTAGACAACTCAACAGTTTTCTTGATCATTTTGAAATTTATATGTCCCATATGTCTATAGAATAGATGAATACATTCATCATGAGGCATCTTATTCTCATAAACTGAGTTAACGTTACTTGATGGATCATCATTTATAATAAACCATTTTCCAATCTTGCAGTAATACTTTTAACCTTGTTCGTCTATTAAATATCTATCTTCCTTAAATGTTACTACAAATCCTGCTTTTTCCATTTCTCTTACAGATAGCAAATTAAACTTCATTCCAGGTACATATAACATTGGTAAACTTTCATTTATACATGAACAATATGCAGTACCTTCTCCATATGCTTTCATTTTCCATCCATTAGCTAATGATATATGCTGTTCACTCTTTCTCATGTTAACAAATCTCTCTTTACTTTTTGTTATACACTATGATGTTCCACTATGGTTTACATTTGTAGTTATATATTGCTAAACTAATATTCTTATGAGCTTTCTGTATATTATTCTGTTTCTTATCCTTTTTACAGTATCTGGCTTTATGTCCTTTAGCCCCACAAGAAAAACATTTCCTAACAATATAGGCAGTTGAAGACAGTTTTTCTTCCTGTGGCTGTCTTTCTATGAGTCGAATTCTATCTTGCCTTCTTCTTGACTCTTCTAACAGTCTTCCAGTTATGCTAGTCAATGTAAATTCATCTCTGTTTAAAACTTCCAGTAAAGACACATAATCATCGTAAGTTTCATCCAAAGAAGAAAGAATAATGTAAACCTGTTGCAACTCAGAAAAAATCAGTTCTTTTTCTTGTAGCTCCTGAAAAGTCCTTTTCATAAACTCCAAATGAGCTGACATATTGCCAACTTTTATAAGACAAGCTCGAAACAGTCTACGTGTAAGGTATATGTGTGCATCCACACTATCTCAAACATAAATCTTCTTCAGAATGTCCCAATATCTAGCAGCAGATTCTTGACCACAAATATGGACTAGTTGCGGATCACTCAGTGTCAGTTCAATTATACTAAGAGCCTTTTCATTATCCTGGTTAAATTCAGCTATTTTCTTTTTATCTTCATCATTTGATGGATTGAAAGTTACATCCAGTGGACTATCACTGCAGTCCATAATCCTTCCTTACGCAGAAATAGGCTGCACTTCATAGACCAGGAAATATAGTTTGTTCCATCCAACTGGGTTATCAGGGATAGACTGGATGACTGTTCTTGTGCCATTGTAACAATAAACCACAATTAGCTGTCTAAATATGAAACTGTATATTCACACTGGTTCTCAATATCTCACTGGGCCCATAACCAATGTTAGGATATGTGCAGAATAACCTTTGTGTAAAAAGGATATGCACAAGGAAAACAGTTTATGAGAACAGTTATGAAGAAATATACAGCCATACAGATTTGAACAAGTTGTATTAATATTTACTTGAAGAAATAGCACAGTTCAATAAACAGTCCAAGTCATACACGTTTTTAACAGTCCAGAAATATCCGGTTATAAAGTCTTCTTACATCTAGTTATAAAGTCTTCTTACATCTAGTTATAAAGTCTTCTTTCTGGTTCCATGTCTTTTACAGCAGACAAATATCAAACCATAATACAACAAATAACCTTCGATATCAACATAGGGTTGGGTTAGTCAGTATCGGTCCGTAGTCAGTCAGTATCAGTATCAAGAGAATCATCAGTATCAAGAGATCATCAGTGAAAAAGAGAAAGACAATTAAACCATGATCTATAGCCCCCTCTTATGGCAACTTGTAGCATAATTAACCAACCAGAAAACAGCATAATACATTACAGTATTTTTCTTAAAGCTACAAACATATATATTGGTAGTTTATATATTGTCAACCCAACTACATTATTTACATATACATAACAGATAGCCTAACTCTAAAAGTAGGCATGATATCAAAACAAATCCTTTTTTAAAAAAATCAGTTTTGTTTTAAAAGCATAGAGTCAATAGGAATCTTGCAAAAATACCTTTTCTTTTAAAAACATTGTTTTTCTTTTTCTTTCTTCTTCTTTTGTTCTGAACTGGGATTCAGATAATTCAGATAATGAATTTGGTGTGTTTGCTACAGCATTCTTTCAGTTATCATACTGAATTTAGGGCCCAATAGTAAATAATCTAAAAATGTAAACTATAAATTAATGTCTATTATATCAAGAAAAGATCCACAAAGGATCCACGAATTAATATTAGAATAACAAAGTATTCAAGGTCATCCACAAAACCAGAAATCAAGGATACCATTAACTAATGGTAACAAGATTTTATCAGGTCATGAGAAATCTATTCTCCAGATCAAGCTTCATTGCAAATAATTTGGAGAGAGCCATACCAGTAGTTTCAAAGAAGGTGTTTGTAACAAGAAATGAAAAAGATGCAGTGAACATTTTAGAGTCACTTGACAAATAATTCGACATAATATTTGTCTGTGAAACATGGCTCAATGCATCTCTCCCTGACTCCATTACCTCAATAAGAGACTATCATGTTTACCAATCAGATTGTGAAATCCGTAGAGGAGGTGGTGTTGCTATCTTCTATTAAAAGTCCTTACATCTAAAAACCATCCAAGTTACCCAGGAGCTTGCTATTCCTGAGACCATCGTCTGTGAACTGTCCTTAAATATCACATTTCAATTCTTACTATGTTACAGAGCCCCTGATTATGACATCAAACATGTAAACAAGCTAAATTCACTACTAACATGGGCAACAGCCTACCCACATACTTTTATCTTTCTTGGTGACTTCAATCTACCTCATATTAACTGGACCCTAAACAAATATAAGAACTGAACCCATACATGCAACCTTCTAAAATGCTGTAACAAATCTGGGACTGGAACAACTAGTAACCAACAATACTAGACTTAACAACTGCCTCGATCTCATCTTCTGCAATAGTTTGAATTCAATTTATGGAATACAAATTATAAAACCCTTTTCCAACAGTGACCACAACATGATTGACTTTTGTCTCAACATACATCCACACAAAAATCACCACAATGACATAATCCCCAATTATAACTTAAAAAAAGGCAACTACGATTTTATAGACAACGATCTCTCATCCCATAATTGGCAATCTCTTTTCACTGGATGCAATACTGTTGAAGACCATTACAACATATTTTTACTTGAAGTCAAAAGAGTCATCAAACTATATGTACCAATGACAACTCCCAAAACCAGAAAAAACAAATTACCCATAACAATAAGGAAACTTCAATCCAAAAAGAGATCACTTTGGTGGAAAAACAAATCTGGTCACGTTGCCAACTTCAAAAGCCGATACAAAAGTTTATGTCACCAGATAAAAACTGAATGCACCAATTACCACATTAAACAAGAGAAAAATCTTCTATGCACCAACTCCACCCCCGCTTTCTACAATTTTGTAAACAACAAACTAAAAGACTCAAGGTCCACCCCACCCCTGAAAGGACCTAATGGTAAAGACAGTAATGATGACACTATTAAAGCCAACATCTTTAACACATTCTTTGGCTCAGTATTTGTAAACAGCAATGGATCATTCCCAGTATTTCCTAGTCGAACCACAGACAACTACAATGATCTAATAAATATCGATTTTACAGAAGACAATTTTGAAAAAGCATTAGGCAATAAAACCATCTCTATCTATTGGACCAGACAGAATATGTGCCTACTTCTTAAAAAACTATCCACTGCCATAGTCAAACCTCTAAGCATAATCTTTGAAAAATCTTTCAGGACCAGCTCCTTGCCAAACCTATGGTCACAAGCCATGGTCATCCCCATTTTCAAAAAGGGAGAGCCCAGCCTAGTTGAAAATTACAGACCAATCTCCTTAAACTGTGGCACTCTAAAGTCATGGAATCAATTATTAACCAATCCATTATCCTCCACTTAGAGACAAATAACCTACTCTCTAATAAACAATTTGGTTTCAGAAAAAAACTATCCTGTATTCTGTAACTCTTACACTGCAAAAACATATGGATTACACATCTCGATCGGGGCAAAGCAATAGATGCAATCTACATAGATTCTGTAAAGCCTTTGATTCAGTGGTACACGACAAACTACTATTAAAACTAAAATCTTATGGTATCTTTGGACACCTGCATAACTGGACAGAAGCACTGCTGTCAAACAGACAACGTATGGTCAAAATTGGGAGTGTCCTATCAAATTCTGTACCTGTCAGCAGTGGTGTCCCCCAAGGCAGTGTTCTAGAATCAACTCTCTTCATACTCTACATAAATGACCTCTGTGATCATATTAAGATCAACTGCGTTCTCTTTGCTGATGATGTCAAGCTATTCAACACCACAGATAATTCTGCTACCCTTCAAAAAGACCTCAACTTTGAATCAGAATGGTCAAACAAATGGCAACTTCAAATCTCAACAAATAAATGCTCTGTCCTACATATTGGCAAAAAAAAATCAGAAAATAAAATACAAGCTGAATAGTCAAGACCTTGCTGATGATCCAAACTCTGTCAAGGATCTTGGAATACTCACCTCAAATGATCTAAGTGCTAGAGCCCACTGTAACTACATAGCCAAAAAGGCATTAAGAGTTGATAACCTAATCCTACGTAGCTTTTTCTCTGGTAATATCACACTACTAACTAGAGCATACAAAACATTTGCTAGACCAATACTCAAATACAGCTCATCAGTCTGGAACCCACACTACGTATCTGATATTAACACAGTAGAGAAAGTCCAGAAATTTTTCACAAGAAGAGTTCTCCAGTCCTCTACTCATTGCAGAATACCTTATGCCACCAGACTTGAAATTCTAGACCTAAAATAATCTAGAACTATGCCGCCTTCGGTCCGATCTAAGTATAGTATTTAAAATCATACATTGCAATATCCTACCTGTCAATGAATACTTCAGCTTCAACCATAAAAATACAAGAGCAAACAATAGATACAAACTCAAGGTTAACCGCACCAAACTTGATTGCAGGAAATATGACTTCAGCAACAGAGTGGTCAATGTCTGGAATACTCTATCTGACTCTGTGCTTTCTTCCCCAAATCCCAAAAAACTTCAACCTTAGACTGTCTACTATTGACTTCACCCCTTTCTAAGAGGTCTGTAGGGGGCATGCACAAGCACACCAACGTGCCTACCGTCCCTGTCCTATTGTTTCTTTTATTTTTCTTATATGTATCCATGTATTCATAACTATGTTTATACTTATACCTATTATCTTGTAAGCAATTGAAAAAAAAAATAACAAGAAATGCAAAAGATTCAATGAACATTTTAGAGTCACTTGACAAATAATTCCAGCAAGTCATCAGGACTGATAACATTCTTCCAAAGGCTGTTAAGTACATACCAGAGGTGATATTCAGCAGCTTCTAACCAGTTCTGGAGAACCAGTAGCGAAAATTTTGAGTAGTTCAGAGAACTGGCAATACCACCTCTGTCTGGAGATTTTATAGTATCCTTCCCCAGCCATGCCTACCAAGCCATGCCCACAGAACTGGTAGTAAAAAAAAATAATAGTATCCTACCACTGGTACCTAGCATTTCCTTTGTCAAAACCATACCATCAATTCCAACAAAATTAATTTTCTTGCCACCAAATTAGGTTATCTATAGGATATGGTCAAAAAAGTTAAGAAGACTGATGTGATAGTGTAACTATCTAATTCTTTTTCAAGTGGATTGCATGTACATGCCTGATTTGCCTGCCTGCCCGTCTGTTTGTTTATTAGATTTATATGCCTCCCATCTGCCTGATTAAGGTGACTCTGGGTGGCTTATATCATATAAAAAGATAAATAGAATGCGTGCAGTTTTAAAATTACACACATTGAAAATTTAAAGCCATGCAAAAGAAAAAAGAAAAGAAAACAGAACCAAGAAGATAGGGAAAAAATCTTTTTATCTCATCAGTCATATCCACCACCTTTGTGGCCCCAAGCCAAGCAACCAAACCAAGTTTTAATGTTTTAATTTAATAATGTTCTTTTTGCCCTTCACATTCATGCTCCCTGGCTGGGCTCAGTGGCTGGTCCAGTGGTGGGATTCATTTTTTTTTTTACTACCGGTTCTGTGGCCATAGCTTGGTGGGCATGGCCTGGTGAGCATGGCAGGGGAAGAACACTGTAAAATCTCCATTCCCTCCCCCACTCCAGGGGAAGGATACTGCAAAATCCACATTCCATATCCACCCCACAAACCTGCACTTCAGCTCTGTTCTCCTGTGCAGGGCAAAAGAAAGACCCAGCCGATCAGCTGGGACTTGGGAGGCAGAGAATAGATGGGAGCAGGACCAGTCAGAGGTGGTATTCCAAACTACTCAAAATTTCTGCTACCAGTTCTCTGAACTACTCAAAATTTCCGCTACCAGTTCTGCAGAACTGGTCAGAACCTGCTGAATACCATATCTGCGCTGGTCCCTATATGGGGAGGTCTTCTAGTGTATTGTAAACATATTAAACTCAACAACTGATAATAAATTTAATATTTCATGACAGATCAGATATTCTGGCAAAAGTTCACATGCCTCTATGTACCAATGCTTGCTTTTAAAGTCCTTTATACTCATTGTACCATCTCAGTTTTCAAAATTTTGTGCCTACGATCCTGTAGTAGAAAAATAATAATGTTCAGATCTATTAGAAAAAGTATCCATAAACTGCCCTGAATATTATATTAGAAATGCTGTTGTGAAACTTTAGCAACTTAGAATAATTCCAGAGTACACCATAATGTGCTATTTCCCCCTGAATTTAGTTAACAAGTCTGTTACTGAATTACAGTATAAAAGGCTGAGGGTCACCATGAACTACATTGAAACAATAATCTTTGGAAAATAGGCATTTTCTTTTATTAAAATATGTATGCAGTATTTTTTTTACTTTTGAAAGGAAGTATTGTTTTGAAAGGAAAGAATAAAGGGTTGTCATTTGGCCTAAGTTGTTCCTGTTCATGTCTCAGAAGCACATCTGAAGGTTAACAACTAATTAGCAGTAATAAGTCTATAGTTACACATCTTGCAAGTACAGTAGAGGCTAAATGTGGGCTAATTTGTGGTTCACAGAACATTTTTCTGTTCCATATAAATACACAATGCTCCTGAATCAAATTCTAAAGATCTTTAGAATCTGTGATTTAGCTAGGTTACAAATGGTTGTTGGATAATAAATGAGACTATACTGCTAATGTTACGGATCAATTTATAATGATTCTGAATGTTTGTCATTATAATCATCATAGCTATAGGCATAATAATATATGGATACCAAAACACAATGGTCCATAAACATTGTACCAGAAATTTCCCACAAAATATAAGTGAGAGCTATATTAGTGTATCCTGACAATATGCTGCCCCATCCCTTTACTGCAGGGTATTGGGCCACAGCCCTTTGTGAATTGGACTGTGGAAGTAGCAAGTGAGCGCACAAGCATACAAAGCTCCATTTGCACAAGCAGCAGGTGCACATATGAAAACATTCCCTCTCCCCCCCCCCCCCACTGCTGTCACCAGTTCACCGAGTTGGAAAGGTTGGACACCACTGCTTTACTGGATAACTATTCAGGCATTTGACCTAGCATTAAAATTATTTTTTTCTATTATTTTTTCTGTATGAAAGTTTTCTTCTCTTAGGTCAATGGACAAACTTCCAAGAATACAGCTCTATATAGGTCCATAAAGGAAAAGGTTCTTTAGACTCTGTAATGTTTATACTCTAAATTCTCTTACTTAGCGACATTGTTTTGGTAGCAGATTATTAGTTGTAACAGAAATATAGTAATTGAAAACATTTATGTGACATACCAATTGCAACCTTACTTCTCCATAAATATATATTCAATTCATATCAGAGTAACTGGTGAAGTTATGGTTTAATCGCTGACAACTCGTGACATCACCTTGCCATCATGTGATATTTTGTGATGTTTTTCCCATTCATGGAGCTGGAGTGGGCGTGGCCTGTGTGTGACGCATCTGGCCCGTGGGCTGCTAGTTTGACATCCCTGACTTAGGGTGAAGGAGCTATATTTCCTACTGCTGGAGCACTTTGCCTCTTGCTGTAACTATATGTGTGATCTGGATAGATGGTGCACTTTGTGATAATCATGTTGACCGCTTGTAGATCCAGGTATTACACACACTCCAGAATATATCATTCTAGTGATTCCTTCAGAGAGATGCTTGTTAGGATGGGTACAGGTCTTTAGGGAAATGATTAGTTCTGAGTACAGCAGGTAGAAATGTTAGAGACCTGTAGTCTTTCTATCCCATGGTTGACTCATGACACAGGTATGCACTCCCAAAGTCAGTGTGTGAAATAGAGCCAATTGTTACAGTGCTCATTTTGTCATTTTAAATAAAAGGTCCAAATCTAGAAAAGAATGAGGGTGTTTCAAGAAAATATTCTTCAAATAGACTATTCGTCACCAAAAATATTGTTACGAAGCTCATAGATTTTAGCCTGTAAAACCAAGGATGCCTAGAATACTAAACAAAAACAGCTTTGTCTGTAAAATGCCTGGCAGGACTGAAAATGACTAATGCCTGGCCCTAGTCCAAAGCACACACATTGCTGCTAGATGACACTGTGTGCTGCTGGCAATTATGCCATCGTGGTTGGAAACTCTATTGCAGAACCTGGAATGGCTTTGAAGAACTTTATTGAATTTATTCTAAAACCCATTCACAATATTTCACTTAAATGGCTGGGGAAAAAAAGAAATTTCCAGTTCTAAGTCTGCCTCCTACTGAGAGACAGGTGGTTTATTCAGTCCATTTTTGCACTAGAAATAGAAAAATTCTAATAATAGTCAGAGAAGCTCTGGGCAGTGTTCATATTCTACCTATGTTTTCCTGAGCTTCCCAGAAATCCCACCACAAGACAGCGAACAAGATGAAGTGTGTTGAATCCTGAACTAGGATTTGAAGAATTTGTTTTTAAAAACAAGGGTTCAAATAGAAGTTTTGTTAGCCTAGAAAACCTTTAATATTGGTTGTCTAATTTTAAGTTCACCTGCCTGCTTCCTGGAATTGCCTCTCTCCCATCCTGCCACATCTTTCTTGACAACAGAGGGCAGAATTTCCGTAGTTCTGACAGGTCAAGTCAAATTATTTTAGGTTGTCAAAGAAAAAATCTTCAATGCTGGTCTGGGAAGAGATCTGAAACTGCCACGGTAATAAAGATGAAAAGAACTGCTTGGTTTGCCTTCTATCTAATGGGAAAAGACCCCTTCATTCTTTAATCAAGAAGGCTCTGCAGAGAAACAGCAGGAAATCTTGACTTACGATGTCTAACATGTTCATTTTAATTGAAGTCACCCAGGGATCATTACCATGCTGAAGATGCCACAGTAAACAAATAATTAACATGTTGAGTGCTTTAAAAAAAAAAACCCGTATGTACCAGAACACACATCAGAGGCATGCACA